GTTAAATTTACTTGTTTTGTGTGTCTTCCCAGTACCTTACCACAGACGAAGTTCCAGATTTTCTCTTTTTGTTTCTATATGTGACGAGGCCATACCCCTAGCTTTTGAAACAGCCAAACACCAACGCGTTACCGTCACAATATATATATATGTGTGTGCTGTTGAATACTGCCGAAAGGGTAAGATTAATGATTTTAAGACTAATCTTCTCAATATTTCTTTTCTTTTTCTTATGTATATCTATATACAATATTTCTTAGGCATATATATGTCTCACAAATCACATACAAGAAGAAGAAATACCTTTCATGGTTTTCCAGGCAACAGGTGTACTATAGTGTCACACACACCTGCATTATACCATCCACGGGTGCATTGTACAGGCACACACACCTGCATTATGCCAGCCAGATGTGCATCGTAAAACTACACCCACACACCTGACATATTACTCTGTGAGCAGGCAAACTACATGAACACACACACCTGACATTACTCTGTGAGCAGGCAAACTACATGAACTCACACACCTGCCTTATTATATCGTCATGAAGTGAACAACACACTTCATTCCTAGCTAATCCTACGTTGTGGAAAAAGAACAATTGTTCTCCTTTCATACATAAATCCTACTCCCGCTGTCGACTGCCTAAGCCGGCAGAAAATCATATTAGCCTTCTTGTTTACAACCGAGTTACGGCATAACTTTTTCAATGTTCTTTCTGCCAATTAACTACGCAACAGCAACCAAAAAAAATCATTGAAAATGATCTTGGAGCCGTGACTTCGTCTGGCTTTGGTGGGCTCATATGATGTAGGTTTCAGTGTGCTGGATCTACCTGTGGACGGTTTCAAGGAGTTTTTCCTACTTCCTAAGCTCGCTCCCTGGGTCCAAGCCTGTTTGGTGATCATCTGTTCAGTCAGGCTGTTGCTTGCAGCGGCCAGCATATACACTACAGTTCGGCTGATCCGGAACTGAGGAAATGTTCACTGGGCCAGTTGTATGTCTCACGACATCGGACAGAGAGAGAGAGATCCCAAAGTCACAGATCACTTGTCACCGCATATATTGCTGTGACAAGTACCTGTACTGTACAGGTACTTAGAAAATTCATTCTTGCTAAGGTTGATGTGAAAGAATGCCACAAAAATCTTCATTAACAGCTACGAACGATTTTTTTGTTTATAATCTTTTGCTGATTTCTTAACTTTAGCGCATTCTGGAAGCCTTTAAATACATCCCTTTGATGGCTTTCTGCTAAGTTTTTCTTTTGTTTGGAATATTGGACTTGTGAATGATCGTAAGAGTCCTTTTGATCTTCGAGATGGTCTTTAGAGGACGTGATCCGTCTGTGTGTATACTGTTGATAGTCATTTGGGTTTTCAGTTTCCATCTTGGTATCTTCATTCGGCTGTTGATCTCCTTGAACATGGCTTCTCTAATACATGGTCCAGTTCCCCCTTAAGATCTTAAATGTTGTTCAGTTTCACTCTGTGGATTCCTTGTGTGGCGATTGGCAACTTCCAGTTTGTTTTTTAATCTTTTTGCATAGGTATCTTCTTGAGGTTATCTTGAGATGATTTCGGGGCTTTAGTGTCCCTGCGGACCGGTCTTCGACCAGGCCTCCACCCCCAGGAAGCAGCCCGTGACAGCTGACTAACACCCAGGTACCTATTTTACTGCTAGGTAACAGGGGCATAGGGTGAAAGAAACTCTGCCCATTGTTTCTCGCCGGCGCCTGGGATCGACCCCGGGACCACAGGATCACAAGTACAGCGTGCTGTCCGCTCGGCCGACCGGCTCCCAGCATGCTGTTTTTGGTGATATTTAGCGCCCTATGATTAACCCTCACATTTGGTGGTGCTACATAACCTTCCCGGTTTGGTGTCTTCTTTTGATAATTACTTACTCTTGTAAAGCTACTAGTACCCACAGCGTTTTGGGCAGAAATATAGGTAAATAACCCAGCAGAGGATGTAAGTTTATTTTTATCACTGCTTCGATATGACTTTTTAAGCCAAATACACCATTATGGTGATTGAAGACTTCCCACTCCTGCTTCTTATCTGACACCAGAACCACACATCAGCATATCGCATTGTCAAACTTGGCCAAGCCACCCAATGTCCAGATAGTCTTCAGGAACATGGATAAACGATCTGGAACGATTCATGCTAAAAAAAAATGCAAAAATAATTTTCAAAGATATTCAACAAGTAGCGATTTTGAAAATGTCTTGATCCCTGCGGGAGCCGGTCGGCCGAGCGGACAGCACGCTGGACTTGTGATCCTGTGGTCCTGGGTTCGATCCCAGGCGCCGGCGAGAAACAATGGGCAGAGTTTCTTTCACCCTATGCCCCTGTTACTTAGCAGTAAAATTAGTACCTGGGTGTTAGTCAGCTGTCACGGGCTGCTTCCTGGGGGTGGAGGCCTGGTCGAAGACCGGGCCGCAGGGACACTAAAGCCCCGAAATCATCTCAAGATAACCTCATCTCAAGAAGGATGCCAATACGAGAAAAGAAACGCCTAAGGCTGGCTTTACAAGAATGTAAACACAATGCTATGTACCCCTCACAAACCCAATGTACTTTCTTCTATATATATAAAAACGAAATAAAAATACAAATTTGGAACAGGATAGGTCCTAGTACTGACCCCTGTGGCACTTTTGATATTTTCAGTTTCATGGCGACTCTCTGCCTCCTTCCTAAAAGGTACTCCCTAATTCAACTGTGCACCTCTTTCCGGCACACCGGACGGCTTCTCAAAAAGTCTGAATAGGAGTTTATTTTGTACAAGTGTTTCAAGTTTTTTTGGAAGGCCTCCTTCCATAGATTTGAAGGTTTTGCACATGCTAATGATGTTATCTTTGTGTAAATCTCTGGCACTAGGCTAGGATATTATCATTTGGTTTTGCCGTTTCAGGAAGTCGTCTTCCTTTCATTCCTTGCAGTATACCTGTAACTTACATTCATCCGGTTTTGATAGTTCTACTGCCCAAGCCCAGCTTGGGGTTAATGTACGTGTTGTGATGACTTTAGGTCCCCTCCCCTACTTCTCGTTACCAAATTAACGTGTCATTATCACATTAGTTTATAAACATATTATTCGCCTGGTGCAGTGTGTAACAAGTTCGTCGAATGTATTTCTTTATCCTGTCTATTTAGGGCAGTTCCTCCCCCCCCCCCCCCAACACAAAATGGTGCTCTGTGAACAGTGCTTGAAGGGCTCTGTGAACAGTGCCTGAGGGGCTCTGTGAACAGTGCTTCAGGGCTCTGTGAACAGTGCTTCAGGGGCTCTGAACAGTGCTTCAGGGCTCTGTGAACAGTGCCTGAGGGGCTCTGTGAACAGTGCTTCAGGGCTCTGTGAACAGTGCTTGAGGGGCTCTGAACAGTGCTTCAGGGCTCTGTGAACAGTGCCTGAGGGGCTCTGTGAACAGTGCTTCAGGGCTCTGTGAACAGTGCTTCAGGGCTCTGTGAACAGTGCTTGAGGGGCTCTGAACAGTGCTTCAGGGCTCTGTGAACAGTGCCTGAGGGGCTCTGTGAACAGTGCTTGAGGGGCTCTGAACAGTGCTTCAGGGCTCTGTGAACAGTGCCTGAGGGGCTCTGTGAACAGTGCTTCAGGGCTCTGTGAACAGTGCTTGAGGGCTCTGTGAACAGTGCTTGAGGGCTCTGTGAACAGTGCTTGAGGGCTCTGTGAACAGTGCTTGAGGGCTCTGTGAACAGTGCTTGAGGGCTCTGTGAACAGTGCTTGAGGGCTCTGTGAACAGTGCTTGAGGGCTCTGTGAACAGTGCTTGAGGGCTCTGTGAACAGTGCTTGAGGGCTCTGTGAACAGTGCTTGAGGGCTCTGTGAACAGTGCTTGAGGGCTCTGTGAACAGTGCTTGAGGGCTCTGTGAACAGTGCTTGAGGGCTCTGTGAACAGTGCTTGAGGGCTCTGTGAACAGTGCTTGAGGGGCTCTGTGAACAGTGCTTGAGGGCTCTGTGTTCTCCAGTGCCCTTCACATGCCTCTGTGTCTCCTGGACAGCTCACCTGAAAAATAGTTCCAGACCTCAATTCAACAACTTCCATCCAATGTCTGGTTTAACCCCCCCCCCCCCCACAAATTATTTTGCTTCTAACGAACTTCCATTCTCAGATTCTAATTTACATGTTATTAAGGTCGAAGGCGCTGTCCGCCCCCTCTCGTAGCCTAGACCGGGCAGCTGTCCGCCCCCTCTCGTAGCCTAGACCGGGCAGCTGCCCGCCCCCTCTCGTAGCCTAGACTGGGCAGCTGCCCGCCCCCCTCGTAGCCTAGACTGGGCAGCTGCCCGCCCCCCTCGTAGCCTAGACTGGGCAGCTGCCCGCCCCCCTCGTAGCCTAGACCGGGCAGCTGCCCGCCCTCTCGTAGCCTAGACTGGGCAGCTGCCCGCCCCCCCTCGTAGCCTAGACCGGGCAGCTGCCCGCCCTCTCGTAGCCTAGACTGGGCAGCTGCCCGCCCTCTCGTAGCCTAGACCGGGCAGCTGCCCGCCCTCTCGTAGCCTAGACTGGGCAGCTGCCCGCCCCCCTCGTAGCCTAGACCGGGCAGCTGCCCGCCCTCTCGTAGCCTAGACCGGGCAGCTGCCCGCCCCCCTCGTAGCCTAGACCGGGCAGCTGCCCGCCCTCTCGTAGCCTAGACTGGGCAGCTGCCCGCCCCCCTCGTAGCCTAGACCGGGCAGCTGCCCGCCCCCCTCGTAGCCTAGACCGGGCAACTGCCCGCCCCCTCGTAGCCTAAGAACGACCCATTATACCCACAACCCATGGTGTGGGGCCCTCCCCATTCATCTTCACTACGCGGATTAATCACTATAGTGTGCTCCTTGGCTAGGGCAAGAATACCACGTGTTCCTCTTACAAGTAATACCAAGAAGGTCTTCTTTGGTCCGGCCTCGTTAAATATGGCCGTGTATTCTGGGCCTCAAACAAGCTAACCATCCAAGGAAGGAGGATAATCCTTCAAGAACACAGCAGAACAACCTTCCATGGTCAGCCTTCCAGGACCACAAGAGGCCGCAGCCTTCCAGGACCACAAGAGGCCGCAGCCTTCCAGGACCACAAGAGGCCGCAGCCTTCCAGGACCACAAGAGGCCGCAGCCTTCCAGGACCACAAGAGGCCGCAGCTCTCCAGGACCACAAGAGGCCACAGCCCTCCAGGACCACAAGAGGCCACAGCCTTCCAGGACCACAAGAGGCCGCAGCCCTCCAGGACCACAAGAGGCCGCAGCCCTCCAGGACCACAAGAGGCCGCAGCCCTCCAGGACCATAAGAGGCCGCAGCCTTCAGCCTTCCAGGACCACAAGAGGCCGCAGCCTTCCAGGACCACAAGAGGCCGCAGCTCTCCAGGACCACAAGAGGCCACAGCCCTCCAGGACCACAAGAGGCCACAGCCTTCCAGGACCACAAGAGGCCGCAGCCCTCCAGGACCACAAGAGGCCGCAGCCTTCCAGGACCACAAGAGGCCGCAGCCCTCCAGGACCATAAGAGGCCGCAGCCTTCAGCCTTCCAGGACCACAAGAGGCCGCAGCCTTCCAGGACCACAAGAGGCCGCAGCCTTCCAGGACCACAAGAGGCCGCAGCCTTCCAGGACCACAAGAGGCCGCAGCCTTCCAGGACCACAAGAGGCCGCAGCCTTCCAGGACCACAAGAGGCCGCAGCCTTCCAGGACCACAAGAGGCCACAGCCTTCCAGGACCACAAGAGGCCGCAGCCTTCCAGGACCACAAGAGGCCACAGCTCTCCAGGACCACAAGAGGCCGCAGCCTTCCAGGACCACAAGAGGCCACAGCTCTCCAGGACCACAAGAGGCCGCAGCCTTCCAGGACCACAAGAGGCCACAGCTCTCCAGGACTAGAGCAGAAACACACTTATAAAACAACCATTATTCCCTGTCGACAATTTTAATTAGCAATTTTCCTCATAATTTCCTTTCAGCTTACAAGAGCCGTCTTCACCACCATGGGGGTCCCCCAGCACCACCACCATGGGGGTCCCCCAGCACCACCACCATGGGGGTCCCCCAGCACCACCACCATGGGGGTCCCCCAGCACCACCACCATGGGGGTCCCCCAGCACCACCACCATGGGGGTCCCCCAGCACCACCACCATGGGGGTCCCCCAGCACCACCACCATGGGGGTCCCCCAGCACCACCACCATGGGGGTCCCCCAGCACCACCACCATGGGGGTCCCCCAGCACCACCACCATGGGGGTCCCCCAGCACCACCACCATGGGGGTCCCCCAGCACCACCACCACGGGGGTCCCCCCAGCACCACCACCACGGGGGTCCCCCCAGCACCACCATGGGGGTCCCCCAGCACCACCACCATGGGGGTCCCCCAGCACCACCACCACGGGGGTCCCCCAGCACCACCACCACGGGGGTCCCCCCAGCACCACCACCACGGGGGTCCCCCCAGCACCACCACCACGGGGTCCCCCCAGCACCACCACCACGGGGGTCCCCCCAGCACCACCACCATGGGGATCCCCCCAGCACCACCACCACGGGGGTCCCCCCAGCACCACCACCACGGGGGTCCCCCCAGCACCACCACCATGGGGGTCCCCCCAGCACCACCACCATGGGGATCCCCCAGCACCACCATGGGGGTCCCCCCAGCACCACCATGGGGTCCCCCAGCACCACCATGGGGGTCCCCCAGCACCACCATGGGGGTCCCCCAGCACCACCATGGGGGTCCCCCAGCACCACCATGGGGGTCCCCCAGCACCACCACGGGTCCCCAGCACCACCATGGGGGTCCCCCAGCACCACCATGAGAGACCATACACCTATCATAACTCCCCCCTCGCCCATATCACAACATTACCACCACTTCCGGTATACAGGCTTGGACGTCGGGTCTAGTATGTATACTTCGGGTCCAGCATGTATACTCTAGCCGCGTTATACTCATTATATTTTGCTTTATAACAATCCGGCGATTCGCCTTATTGGCATATATAACATCCCTGTGACAGCTGATCTCCTTGGTAGATTTTGACGTAATGTTAACTGAAAATTGAAGAACTAGTTTCAAGATTTCTGTTACTGTAACGAGGTGAACATCAACCTCTTCAAATGAAAAGCTTTGGATCGTCTAGTTTGAATTATCGTTCAGTCATCATTTACACCTAATGACTACAGCTGCTTCAGGCCCAGCACGGCACAATGTGGGACTTGCACTTACACTACACTACACACTCTTGCTAAAGTGTGTAGTGTAGTTGCTACACTTGCTAATGAGTGAATGCTTGTCACCCTCAACCTGGGTTCCACGGGTTATGAACGCCAATGGAACCGCCTACCCGACGAAGTAGTAAATGCTAATCAACTGACAATCCAGATGGTACAAAATCCTGAAGAATAATGGAAGGGAGGAGGTATGGAGGACTTTGACAAGCCACCGGCTTCCTGTCTCCGTCAAGGACACCAGAGATATTGCGGCTCTGATCAACTCCTAACCTAACCAGCCTAGCTAAGCATGACTAGTTATCTAGTACTTCTGGGACTTGAAATTGATCTTATCACAGATGCCAACCTGGCCCATGAGTCATCAAGGTGTCCACTTACGAAACCTGTACATCTTTCAGCAAACATCGGGTTGAGTACGACAACTCTTAGCGTGTCGAGCTCGTAAACTGTTTAATAAATAGAAAGCCGCCATAACCGAGGAATGATTTAGAGGTTTGTTAAGTGACCACTTTTAATGGTTGGCGAATCCTGCTCCAATGTAAACAATTCATCTAGATTCGTACGCTCGTAAGGAGCTTCGATACGAGGACGAGGGAAATGATTGGAGCAACCATTCACTTGGACCATCGGGGGATCGAACGCCGGTCTTGCAGGATACAAGGCCGTCTAAGATTGGTTTGGGACTTGTCTGGTGTCATCAAAAGGGAAGATGATTTCTCAGGTAGAGCACAACCTCTCTCCACCTGGGGAGGTGGCGGCGAAGCGGCAGCCAGGTGGCGGCGGTGGCGAAGCGGCAGCCAGGTGGCGGCGGCGGCGAAGCGGCAGCCAGGGCGGTGGCGGTGGCGAAGCGGCAGCCAGGTGGCGGCGGTGGCGAAGCGGCAGCCAGGTGGCAGAGAAACAGTAGCCAGGTGTCGGTGAAGCGGCAAAAGCAGACAACAGCGGCGAAGCGGTAACCACACGGCCCAGGGGCCGAGGAGATTACCCTCATGGCGACAGCCACCCAGCTCCCGCCAACCGCCTCGTCTGAACAGACAACCTAACCAACGTACACTAACACCCTAATACCCCCCCCCCAACCCCTCCTTATCCCCTCCCTCACACCCTAATACCCCCCCAACCCCTAGCTGCCCCTACTTACCACCATCACTTATAAATTAAGTAAGCGCATTGAGCAAATAAATACTTCCATACTAGAACTCAAATCGAGGGTCCGAAGTGAATCTATAGAACTCAAGTCTGTATGTGTGTGTGGGGGTGTGTGTGGGGGGGGGGTGAGGGGATGGGGGGGTTATCAGTAGGCAGGATACGGTGCTGTGAGGGCCCCCCTCTCCCCCCACCCCTCGCTTGATAAGATATAGGTGCCGACGCCCGTTACGGCTGGTTACACGTGGTGGTGGTCCGAGCTCGCCATCTATTGTCACACTCCATATACCCTTACCTTGGGCCTGGCGAGGCTAGCGGGGGTTCCACACCCCCCCTTACCCCTCATAGCTGGGGTGGGGGGTTGAATGTAATGGTGAGTGAACCACGCCTACAACCGCCCCTCCTCCTCACAGGAGGGGTTTCCGCGGGGCAGGGAGCTAGAGCTCAACCTAGCCTTACACGAGGGTACCTTGAGGAGAGAACATCACACCCGTATCCTGATGCCTCTGTTCACCGCAGTAAATAGGTACTGTACCCGGGGATTTAGAAAACTGCTGTGGGTTGCATCCTGGAAAAACTTAACCTTGCGGTTATCTTGCGATGATTTCGGGGCTCAACCTCCGCGCGGCCCGGTCCCCGAACAGGCCTCCAGGTTGCTGGACCAGGCTGCTGGACGCGGCTGCTCGCAAGCAGACGTATGAATCACAGCCTGGTTGATCAGATAGAGAAGGCAAATATATAGCAGTGGAGGCCCCCCCCCCCTCCTCTAAGGATAACCCCCTTGCAGGTTCAGGGGGGGGGGAGGGAACAGTGGAGGAACATGTTATGAACCTGAAGAGACGAAAGAACTCATTCACTGAGAAGACTGGAGCTGGAGACACCTAAGGCAGTCAGACTGGATATCACCCTGGATACTAAGAGAAGCAGCAGAAGCCTTACAATGGCCGCTTAATATGGCTAACAAGGGATTGGAAACTGGAGAACTACAGTGTTGAACGACAGCCAATGTAGTGGCAATATACATACGAAAAAAATAGACAAGACAAACTACAGGTTAGTCTCACTTGTATATCAGGGTTACCTTGAGGTGATATCGGGGCTCAGCGACCCCGCGGCCCGGTCGTCGACCAGGCCTCCAAAATAGTGAAATTTTTTAAGAGGGAATGGCCTTCAGAACACCTAACATGGCTTCAGGGACAACAAGTCCTGTTTCACAAGCTGGCTTGTTCTAGGACCACGAAATTACAGTGGGCCAAGTGTATACTTTTGAACCGTCAGATATCCTTCCACTTGGTACTCCAGAGGATGCTAGTGTGCCATAAATGGTGCAGCAGACAGGAAAGATGCGCCGGAGGATACAGCAGTACTAATACCACACAGCCTACCCCCCCCCCCCTTTTACGGGCTCACCATAGCCCGTGCTACATGGACATTTCATTCAGAGTAGCTAAATCTAAAAACACCAACCCCCTCTCCCCCCATATACAATTTACAGCCCCGCTCCTGTACCTGATAAGTCCACTACGGGCTCACCCTAGCCCGTGCTACTTGGAACTTTTTGTTCAGAGAGGCTGAATCTAAAACAACTAAACCCCCCCCCCCATATAAGGGGGTATGCTGACATACCCCCATATATACCGCCATACCCTGGCGGCTGAGTGGACTGCGCTTAGGGGTCGTAGTCCTAATGGACAGAGTTCGATTCCCGACTGAGGTGGAAACAAACGGGCAGTTTCTTTGACCCTGATGTTCCTATTCACCTAGCAGTAAATATGTACCTGGGAGTTAGATGGCTGCTTCCTGGGGACGTGTGTGTATGTATTCACCTAGTTGTGCTTGCGGGGATTGAGTTCTGGCTCTTTCGGCCCGCCTATCAACTGTCAGTCAACTGGATACACAATCAACTGTGTGTGCGTGTTAAGAGAAATATCTGTAGTAGAGTTAATAGAGGAAAAATAGATTGGTTAGAAAGGCGGAGTCCAAGAGCTAATAGCTCGATTCTGCAGACACCAATAGTAAAGACAACAGGTAACAGCATATTGAGAGGAGATACCAGAGTAATTCAATCAAGTGTAAGGTGATGGAGCCTGGTGCTGGAAACAAGAGGCTGGAAACCCAAGGCACCATACGAGATGAAACCCTCTTGGAATTAAGAGAACAAGACCTGGGGCCAGATTCACGAAAGCACTTACGCAAGTACTTACGAACGTGTACATCTTTCCGCAATCTTTGACGGCTTTGGTTACATTTATTAAACAGTTTACAAGCATGAAAACTTCCTATTCAACTGTTGTTATTGTTATAAACAGCCTTCTGGTGCTCCGGAGCTCATTAACTGTTTAATAATTGGAAACAAAGCCGCCAAAGATTGAAAAAAGATGTACGGGTTCGTAAGTGCTTGCGTAAGTGCTTTCGTGAATCTGGCCCCTGGGGGTAATGGTACTGCACTGCAGCCGTCACCAGAAGCCGACATGAAATGAATATCATCAGTTGCATATGCAAAATTGACCAATATTAAGACTTTTTTCTTTTTAGGAATCTAAACCATGGTCATTCAG